CACAATTGAAACAGTTTGCATTACTTTTAAAGTATTAAATAAAATCATTGGAAACAAGACAATAAAAAACCACTAGGAGTCTAGAGTTTACCGAGATGACAGAAACAGAGTGATCAATATATGGATTCTATTGGACAGATAACGACGACTGATATTGCATCCTATTAACAATTTTCAACCAATGAGACGTATTCCCGCAGACAATAGAAAAAAAAAAAAAAAAAAAAAAAACAAAACTTGCTTCATGGTCTCTTTGGCTAGATTATTTAAGTAAAGCTTCTGGACCAGACAAATTAGTAAGTAGGAAGGAAAACAAGAAACCGCAAAAGACTCCCACAAGGAAGAAGTCCGGAAGAAGAAACCATTACCATAGACCTTCCGGTTGAAACTAGCAAATTATCATATAGAACACTACCAGCATGGCCCGGCGTTGCCCGTGCTTGATTCAAAAATCATACAACTCAAACAGCAATCGCTATCACTTGATTTAAAATATTTTTGCCCTTCTTTGCCTTTAAAGGAGTGCCCTTTGTCGTGCTGATGTTGCTACATGCCTTACTTCTTGCCTATCTCACACTGAGAATTTTTTCTAAGCTCTATACTAAACATTAAATCTGTTACGAAAAAGGAACTAAACAAAATGAACACAAAACGATCAGCTTTAAAAATAGGACTCGTAACTGGAAAAACCGAATGAAAAAAGAATGTTAACAACAAATACTTTTTCACGCCCAACCCAGTTCTGCGGAATCAGAATCAATGTTGAGTTTAAGCAAGCGAATGAGCCAATTGGAGTAAAGTGCCATGCAGATTTAAATTTTTCCCACTTGTGACGAATGCAGCTATCGATTTTCTTTGCATGCTAGCATGCTAGTTAACATTCGTGTTAGTCAGCTGTTGGCTCTCACGCTGGCCAGTAGAAAATGGCCGCAAACTACATAAAAACTACCGTAGAAGCATGAAAATATCGATTATTTCGACTATCGATGGGAGTTGGGAAATGCAAAGTCGGTCTTGGCCTTTCCGCTAACTTGGTAAATTTTGGTGCAAATCAGTCGAAAATTGCGGTCGTGCATTTGTTACACACACACACACACACACACACACACACACACACACACATCCTGCCTTTTATAGATAGAGATAATTGAATGGAATCTCCCATTTTTGTAGACAAACGAAGTGGAGTTTAGGAGAGTTAGCAGGAGGTCAACTGCTAAGCGAACCTTTGTGTAAAAACCTGCTATATCATTACTTATCTAAAAATATGTCTTCTTATTTATTTCGCTTTTTGTTATCGCGAAAACCCGAGATACAACACCTTGTAACGCTGCAAAACCGTTGCCTTTCAGTGTTGCATTAGCCCCCCTTTTGAATTACACCCCCCAACACTGCACACGTTGCAAAAAAAAATACCTTCTTCATTTCGCATAGCCAACATAGGCAGGATAAATAGTAGTGTCGTCAGCATAGATGCCAACTTGGGAGTTGTTGGCATCAGAAAGATCGTTGATGAAGATCAGAAACAGTGTAGGACCCAGGATAGAGCCTTGGGGAACAGCAGCGTTTGTGTGAAAGGTACTGGCGGAGAACTCGTTTATGTAAATAAGCAGAGTTGAGAAGAGTTAGCATAAGGTGAATTGCTAAGCATACCTTCGTGTACAAAGCCTTCTATTTCATTACTTACCTATGAGTTTGTCTTCCATATGATTTCTCTCTATTATCTATTATGTAAATAAGAGGAGTTAAGCGGCGTTGAAGATAGTCAGCCTTAGGTTAATTACTAAGTATACCTTCGTGTAGTAAACCTTCTATTTTATTACCTACGAGTTTGTCTTCCTTATTATTTCTCTCTATTATCCGGAAAACACGAGACACAAAAGATATAAAATAAAATGATATTTATTGTTACATAAAGAACGAACTGATAAAATTTCTGACTCAAAACGGCTGCTTGCGTTATTGAATGAATTGTTTAATCATCGATAATTTTACAGTGATTCTTTTGTTTACTTTTATACAAATCAATGAAAATGATATAAATACGTTGAATGCAACAGGAAAGCGAATATGAGAGCGTGAAGCTAAAGTATCCACAGGAGCTTTGTTAACTGTGCTTTTTTGTCTAGGTAGTCTGAGTCTTGAGTACTTTTCTGGGTAGATAAATGTTTGCCTTTTGGTCTTTTCTTCTTTTTTCTTTCTTTGTTCCGGTTTTTTTTCTTATCTTAGGTTTTAGGTCCTTGGGCAAATTGCCTGGAGCAGGGGTAGACAAACCCAACCCCCTTATTACGGGGTCTACGGGGAATTTTTTGCAAGGGCCTACGGGCTCGGAAAAAAAAAAAACCACGTTAAACCGACCATGTGGCACATCCAGCTCTCTGGGGAGCTCAGGTAAATACCGAGTCAGCATTAGGTTAATTGCTAAGCGTACCTTCGTGTAGTAAACCTATTATTTTATTACTTACCTACGAGTTTGTTTTCCTTATTATTTCTATTATCTCGAAAACACGACATACAGCAGATATAAAATAAAGTTATACTTAGTGTTAGATATAAAGAACGAACTTTTGTTGTTAAGATTGTGGCTGCCAATAAAAATGGGACGTCTATTTCAAATACGAAGTGTCCACTATAATAACCTTTGAAGTAATAAAAATCTTAAAAATAAATCCATTAATTTTTCAGAAATTGCTTTGTATACCTTTCGGATACAAAACCGAGTCGATATGGACTCTTGAGAAAAATAATCTGTTTCTTTACTTAAATAGGGTAAAAAGTCTCTTGCTAACTGTTAATTCGTAGGGCTAAAGCATACGGGATCAAATGGCAGTTGCCCCTACAAAAGAAGACGCTGTTTCGATCAGTATCGATCTCGTATTCTTTACATCGACTTTTCGACTGGGCAGGCAGATCGACGAATAAAATGGGGTTTAAATAAAAATAGGCGTCTGTTTCGAATAAGAAGTCTCCAATATAATTACGTTTGAAGTAATATATGTATTTGTGTTCTGGTCGTCTGAAGATCGCGAAAGCGTGAAACTCGAGTAGCCGCAGGAGCTGTTTTTTGTTAAGCGTGCTTTTTTTCTCTAGTTAGTCTTGAGCACTTTTCTGCGTAGATAGATGTTTGCCTTTTGGTCTTTTCTTCTTTTCTCTATCCTTGTTCCGGTTTTTTTTTTCTTATCTCAGGTGAAAGGTCCTCTGGCAAGTTGTCTGGGTCGAGAGTAGATGAACCCGATCCCGATATTACAGGGTCTGCTGGAAATTGCCCGGGCCTACGAACTCGGAAAAACCCACATTAAACCGGCCTTGTGCCACATCCCCCTCTGTGGGGAACTCGGGTAAATATCGAGTTAGAATTAGGTCAATTGCTAAGTGTACCTTCGTGTAGTAAACCATTTTATTTCTTTACTTACCTACGAGTGTGTCTTCCTTATTATTCCTACCTATTATCACGAAAACACGACATACAACAGATATAAAATAAAATCATACTTATTGTTAAGCGAACTAGTAACAATTTGTGACTGTTTTTTTTGTTTTGTTTTGTTTGTTTTTTGTCCAGGTAGTCTGAGTCTTGAGTACTTTTCTGGGTAGAA